ATGTTAGACATGATAGGTAGGAAAAAATACAGGCAGAAGTCAGTTTTTCTTATCTTCTGTATAAACAAGCTGGTATTTCATTCAAGGCCTTTTCCTTAACTTTCAGCATACCAGATTGCTATCAGGCAGTCACAGGGAGAGACATGCAAACATGTTGTTGTTGACTATTTGTCTGCTGAATTTATTAATTGGTTTCTAAGGAAATTGGGCTCCTGCATTCATTCTGTCTTTGTGCTCGCCTGATGTTCCTTCCCTTTCTCCCCTTCACAATCGTTTGTGACTTAGCCGGCCTATATTCATCACGTTTGTCAAAAAGCTGGAGGTCTGTAAAGATAGTAAGTTCCTATTTTTACAAAACTCATAGGTGATGGGTAGAGGAGGGAATGCCCTGTTTGTGGGGCTGTCCACCCCATGGCAAGGGAAAAGCAAGGGAAACTCTGTCCTGAGCTGCTGGGTTTGGGACCATGCTGCAGACTGACCCGCAGCCTTCTCCTGCGAGCTAAACACCGGGTCGTGATGCAGACACAGGATACTCCAGGGTGGGCCAAAGCACGGTGAGGTATCAGTGATGTGGAGGGGTTGTACGGAGCACAGAGCAGGGGGCATGCTTGGGGGTCTATGTGGACAGTAAGGATATTGCGGGTTTTGGCATGCCGAGGGGGTGAATGGAGCTACTGTGGAATGATACAAGGGGACACTGAGGGAGAGAGCACTGAGGACCCTGTGAAAGAGCTGGGGGGCTACCATGGTAAAAGGGTAGAAAGCACATGGAGAAAAGAGCGAGGCTGTGAAAAGCACCACGGACATGATGAAGGACTTGGGGTATTTTGTTTGGAGAGCATAAGGTGTTTGTGACGTGTATCTCTTGGAATATATGTACTATTAATTCTGCTGTTTTCTAGTAGTGCCATGTACTAGTTACAATGCACGTTGTTTAAATGAGCCTGATTGAATACCTTCTGAAGTAAACGTTGCTTTTATTTGCTACCAAAGGAACTAGATAAGGTCCCTACTATAACATACATAATTTATTTGCATGATGTTTATGAATGACTTTGAAGTATATATTTGGAATTTAAATCTTACCATTTGTAATACCTGTTAGAAACTGACATGAGCTTCTCAAGTAACTTTTAACCTTCTCAGGTTTATTATGAATTATGTGCAACTGAGGCAGGGTTGATATCTTGGAACTTCTTGGTTCATATATTTAGGGGCTTGGGGACTGTCTTAGTTTGTGGTTATACAGCACCTAATTCTTGTCCATGCCATCATGATTCCTGATTCCATTGCAGTATAAGTAATTATAATATATTTTATCTGTTTACAAAACTACATTATAATATAAAATAATTATAGTACTCAAAAACTAAGTATGGTCTTCATCCACCCTTTGGTCTAAGGAATTATATTTGACGTTGATGCCAGTTCTGCAGAGAAGGGAGTCCTAATGCATGCTGATAAATTGGTGAAGTGGGTGAAATACTTCAGAAGAAAAAGAGTTAATTCAGTTAGTTTTCTCTGATATTTTTAAGATTGGGCTACATTAAGCCTTTTCTTACTCACCTGCCTTCTTAGCGGTGTTATATAGTTCCACTGTTGGAAGAAATCATGGGAATACCCATGTAGATTGTCTGCAACTTCCTCATCTCCATGTTGTCTAGACACATAGTATATTCATGACTCCAGAACATCTAGACTTCCCTTGACTGGAAAGCCTTAATGAGGTAGTAGAACAGAGGGAGTCTGTTTTCCCTTTCAAAGTTCCTTCTTCGCTGGTGGCTTGGTACAGTATTGTAATGAATACCAAATCAGTGTTATATTTCACAGCATGGTTCCCAAATTCATGTTGCAGGGGAAAGGTGAGATGGTGGTGTTTATTCCAATATCATTGACTAAAAATAGCATTTGAAATTGTAAGAGGTGAATAAAGTGATCTTGAAAAATACCATGGTATATATGTTATCTTCTTAATGATATTTTATTTTCAGCATAAATGTACTTAGGAAGCATTCTGGCAATTGAATAAGGCACAACTGAAACTTCGGTGAGAAAGGCATGGAATTGGTCCATATTTTTTGGCACTGTCTGCCTTGCTAGGTTATAAAGCCAGGTTACCTAACTTTCTGTTTCAGGCGTCTTGGGGTTTTTCACACTTTTCTTTCTTCAGTGGCATAGATGGAGGACGCCCTTCTTCCTCAGTTATCAGGTAGTCAGGTATTTTCTGGGAGTGGGGATTGTGGTATTAAGTAATTTTGAACAAAGAGAGCAAATACCTAAATTTGCTGTTCTTGGATAAATTTTCTTTAGACTTGTCCTCGTCAGCTGTTGTTAAAGGGGGAAGGAAGAGTAGTAGATTAGGCTGTTTAGCCTAACTTCTTTCCAGAGAAATATATGTGTGAATGGGGAGAGGGAGCACTTCTTGGCTCCCCTTCTTTGTCTTGCTGTTACATACCATCTGTATTTTTTCTAAGACTTATTTTCCTTGCTTGAATGTATAGTTTATTACAGTTTTGGCTTGAGAAGAGGAGCTGGATAAAACCTGCCTCCTCTGAAATAACCTGAACAAAGTATTGCCTTGAAGATTCATGTTAAAGGATGCGGAGACAGCCTCTGCATTCCAGGAGTATCACAGCCAAATAGGGATGTCGGGCTACCCTTCATTAGGTGAAATTGGTGAAATGTAAATAATAATTGGTCGGTGGGTGTAATTGAATACCTTGTAAAACAAAGTTGGACACTAGCCACATGGCATCTTTTACCTGCCTGACCTCACTTGTCCCAGAACTGGAGACGGGAAGTCTTGCAGGGTTCCTCCCCACCACTTTCTGCTGCACTCATACTGCACTGCATCTGAGGCATCCGCTGGCTCCTTCTCCTGGGTGGTTTTTTTTTTGGCATCTCCTACTAACAGTTGTCTATGGTATGGACACATCTGGCAGTACTGCTGGTGAGCCACTCTGGCTTGTGGGATGATACTTGGAAGAGCTCTGCGTTAATCTGTTGTGCAAAGGAAGATGTTCTATTGCAGTTTTTCCGTGACTCAGAAAGACAAAGAAACCTAAAAGGTCATACGGTGGTGTGTGATTTGTTTTATGGGTTCATTCAATATTGCCATTGTGCATTTAGCCTGACCACAGTGAGTCAACTGGATTGAACTGACTCAGCCAAAGTAGAGGACTTGCACAACAGTAGGACTTCAGTCATTTAAAATTCCCTTGCTAATGCACATCAAAGAGATGAAATTAGTTATGGGGTGTGGATTTTTTTTAGGGGGGAGTGCTGTTGTACATATAAAATCAGTTTAAAGTGGAACTTGGGCATCCCAGTATTTTTATGGATCTTGCCTGTGTTTTACTACCTTGAACTTCCATTGGTTAGGCAAATAAACCTACCTTCAGGAAAGGATACAGAAATTGGCTTGAACATTTAAGCTTTTCTTGGATTGACTTGGCTGGATCTACTTGGATGCTTTGTCAGTTAGTATCTTAAATTGCTACATAAACAGCAGAAAGTCAGAAGTTGTAAGGTGGAGAAATTGTAGGTAACTGTCACGTGGTACTTGGTGGCCTAAAATCTGCTGCTTGAATAATTACGTGACAGCTTCCTATGGCTTTGCAGGGTAACTTGTATGCTTTGGCATTAAAAAGTCAAGTGCCAAGTGCCAGCGTTTTTCACCTCAAAGCTGTACTGTGTCACCTGAGCCAGCGGTGGAGAGCAGCCCCCCCGTCCTGCCATGATTAACTTCAGACTTCCTCTCCGATGTGCTCTGGAGCCAGTTGTCCCTGAAGAGATTTAACTTTTCAAGGAGGGGCTGGATGCAGCTCAGCACCAAGCGCGGCTGTCCCTTGGCCGGTGCAGACAGGCGGATGAAAG